AGGGCCCCTGCCGCTGCCACGACCTCCTGTACCGAGTACACCCTAGAACAACTCGCACCAACACTGGACAACATGGCACAGGGCCCCTGCTACCCAGCTCAGCCCGCAGTCCACCTTCTAGGGTTCAAATTAGCATGTCTAGACAAAACATGCTAATTCAAACTGAAAGGGTGCTCCCATCGATGCTGGTAGTCCTGCTTCTATGAGGAATAAGGGAAGTTGAAAGGAGAGTGTGCTCCCTTTGACTTCCTACAGTGTGGACGGCACCAAAATTCAAGTTAAGATACTTCGACTTCATCTATGCAATTAGCATAGCTGAAGTTGCATATCTTAATTTGAAATTATCCCCTAGAGCAGTGTTTCTCAACCAGTGGTACAAGTACTCTTGGGGTTGGGGGGCGGGGGGGGGGGAGTATGTCAACAACTGAAATTTGGAGAAAACAGAATTTTTGTTTTCAGTTTCAGGCGCTTTATTATTTTTCTACTTTTTACACCCAAAAATGTCATCGCCCGCCCGGCTACAATTAAGTTGTTTAAACAAATGTGTTGCAATGGTAGAAAAAAAAATATGTGTCTGAAAACTGTAGGTACTGGGGGTACTTATTTTTTTAAAGGGGTACAGTACTTTCTAACAACAGGTTGAGAAACACCGGTTTAAAGTCTCAAAACCCCATGAGAGCCACTGCCCGGGGCTGGTGCCAGAGGGGCACCAGTGCAAACCCCACAGCTATGGGGCCAAGAGGCTGTCAGTCCAGAGGTGTTTAATGACGAGCAAAGTCAGCTTGCCAGGAACGCTGCTGAGCAGAGGCCTTGAAAGGGTGCCAGGAGCACTTCCCAGCATCTAGAAAAGAGGCAGCCGCACGGGGCCCACCAGCATTTCTGTATCAGGCGCTGACAGCAGCAGCTTGGCTGACCTGTTTGGCAGTTTGGCTCAGAAGGCAGTGTCCCCCCCCATACTCCCCCCGAGCAGGCTGCTCTAAGCATGGCCAGCCAACCCTTTGCCTCCACACCCCTCTGAGGGGCAGACGCCAACGGCAGGCACCTCAGGGCAGCACTTGTTGATATGCGCCCAGCTAGGAGTCAGGTTAGACGCACAACGCCAGCCCCGCAGACACCCACGAGAGCTCTGCCATTGATTCTAGAGCGCCCAGGGCTCCCGCGCAGCCTCGGAACGGCGGGCGGGTGGAATTCAGCCAGCCCGGCCCACGTTACGCTGAACTAGCTTCTGCCCAGCAGAGACGGGCAAAGAGGCAGAGGACAACCAGCACTGTGCTCTAGAAAAGCAGAACAAGCAAAACGCTCACGCCCACGCCCCAGAGCGGAGTGCGCGGGCCAGGACCGGAGCCGCCGTCGATAAAACACCCGCTGCACCTCGCCCGCGGATGTGCCTTAACGCCACGCAAGTAACACGGACAGGGCCGGACCGTCGGAGTGAGTCAAGTCAGGATGCAAATATCATTGTTACGTTACCAAGAACCCCACAAACCCTTTCCAACGCGGCCCCTTGCGGGTCTCCACTTCATGCAGGGAGCTTTTCCAAGCCCACAGCGAAGGCCCCCAAACCAACCAGCTCTTCTAGCCATCAAAGCCGCTGTTTGCAACATTGGGGGGGGACCCAAGACACCCAACAGGCCCCGCGGGCAAGGAGACCAAGTCCAGCTAAGCTACACAGCATGCAGGGAAGCAGAAAGGGCTGGGCGGAGTTGCTAAGGAGCACACCGTGCAGCCCCCACTCCACACAAGGAGCGAAAGGAAAAGGAACCCTGCCAGCAGAGCAGCTGTCCCACCTAGCCCTGCCTCACCAAAGGGACACTCCCCCCCGGGGCACAGCGATGCCCTCGGCTCCCCCGGC